GAGGAGTGGTTTGGTTTTCTTCACTCTGCAAGGCCAGTAGCAGTGACCTTACAGACTGCTATGTGAAGGTAGGTTGTTATTTTAATACTTCAGGTGTTACATTTCCAAAGGAGAGAGGAGATGGGCTTGACAGAGACACATGTTTGTTAGGAGAACAATGCTTTTATCTAGCTGGGCCTTCAGGGCTAATGGTTAACAGGCTGAAGGCTTCTTCTATGCAGAAGACTTGAAGAAGCAATGCCTCTGAGTCTTAGGTGGGTTATGAGGATGTCTGATAAATACCAGCCATGACTGACATAATTAGAGGGAGGGACCGGAATTGCCTAGCATGGCCCAAGGAAGTAACATGAGGAACAATGACAACAACAAAAAGTTAATCTGAGAAACATTTGGGCAAAGGGTAAAGAGAGGTTTTTTAGTCATGAGCTGATGTTTGGCTGTACATGGCCCCTTTCAAAGACCTCCCGGTGCTGGCTTGGGCCAGTAGATAAAGGGTCCACCAAGCTCATGAAGAAGACACAGGAAGACAAGATTATCAAGCCAAAGTCTTTGCACTGCCATGTCCAAACATTCCCAGCACAACAGAGAGAAGATAAAAATCAACCCACCCAGTAGATTCTTATTCCAATATGTTGCTGATGTTGCTGGTTTGCAGTATAGTAAAGGAAGGGAATCCTGTGTCAGCCTTCTAAGCTCTCGGCAGAAGATGCTTGCGGATAAACATAAGGTAGAACATGGCCTGGGTGCAAATCACAGGGAAAGGATTGTCTGACATGACAACAGTGAAGAAAGTACCTGCTACCAGACTCATGTGTTGCCAGGGAGCACAGGTTCAGCATGGCCCAGGTTTTCACTCAGGCCAAACCAAGGACCTTGAATTGGAGACTCTGAGAAGATCCTGAAGACCAACCTTGGGGATTGAGTGGAGTAGAAATGGCAAGGGGGGTGAAGAGAGTTGGGGAAATAGGTAACAGGAAAAGAGGTATGGATAGATGGAGAGGTTAATATAAGATAGGCAGAAGGATGAGGGTGGCTGGGTAGACAGCAGTCTTTTAAAAGCAATCCAGGCAGCAGCCGTAAACCTGCTGATGTAGAGATGTTACATGCCATTGACTCGCCAGTGTTAATTGCTGGATTAGCATGTTCTAGCACAGACTGCTGAAGCAATTGCTTGATCCCTTAAAGGGATGCAGCAAAGTCCTGAGGGTGAAATGCAGACTTAGGAGCAGGGCGCACCTCTTCTGCACTCTAATCCGCACTGGGTCACTGACTCATTCCGTGGCCTTTGGCGATTTACTTCACCTCTGTAAAATGGGGATAATAACCCTTAATCACCACAGATGGAGGGGTATTGAGAGGAGGGATGAAGGGTTGTAAAGAATGAGGTGCTCTAATATGGAAGTACCGAAAAGGGGGCAGGTCTGAGCATTTCCCTCAGTGCCTGACCCTGCCGCCCGGACTCACAGAGTACCCAGCGCTGCCCTGAGCCATGGGCCCTGCTCCAGGCAGGCAGGCCCTTACCACAGTAATGCTGCTCCGAGCACCAAGTTCATGGCCAGACCGAAGGCGACAGCACTTACTTTTCCTTATTAAACAGTTAGCCTGGTGGATGTGAACTGAAAAAGAGAAGAACCCCTCATAAGCTGAAACATGAGCAAACTCTGTAGTTCATGTCCATTTTCATATCACTGCTTGGGGCTGGTTGTGAGCCCAGGCGAGGAGCCAGCAGCATCAGCGCACTGGACTATGCCACCCCATCCAGGTGCTTTCATAGGCAGGCAGGCAGCGGAGATACCTTTTGTTGGGAATGAGCCGTAAGCTGGGAAGCTCGTGGTAGTCGTGGATCCTCCTCCCTTCGCATGCAGAGGTGGGCAGCAGGAGAGAGCTGGGTTCAGAAGGTGGCACCAAAGATGCCATGGAACACCCCCATGGCAGAAAGTAACCCCAAAGAGGGGTTGATCGTGCTTGTTTAAACGGGGTCTTTTGCAGGTGTGTGGACTGGGAGTCTCTCTATGCAATCAGTGTTAAAAGATAAAAGTAAATTAAATGGAAATCAGAGAGACTGCAAAACAAATCACCTGCACGCAGGCTCAGTTGCTGCAGAAAGTATCTCCAAAGCATACCCTGAAACTTGCTAACACCCACCATCCTCCACCCAGGAAAGCAAGCAAGAAATAAATTCCTTGCCCTTTCAGGGCTGGAGGCCTTTAAACCTATTCTGATTTAATTGGAATGGAATGGCAGATCAGACCTTGCCCATTTCATAGTGGCACATACCCATACCCATGTGAGGAAAGCTGGATACATAAGAAAAAACATTCAGCAACCCTGTGATACCAGATTAAGACCTAAAGTGTCTGTAGATGAAGCCAGATTCAATATTGCAGGATAACACTGTGGCTATAAAATGGTGAGAGTAAGATCAGAAATACTGCAGCATGGAAAAATCTTTGCGTGAGGTATCTTCAAATGTGGCAGGAGACTGTTTAGGTTTTAATATTAAAAATAAATGTTTTCTTTGAGATTTAAAACAGAACTATTCCAATGAAAAAACGTGTTTCTGTTGCTATTATGTTTTTGGATATGCCTCTTCCACAACAGCAAGTGAACTTGTGCTTGAGCTTGCATCAAAGTTCAGGACGAGATGGAGACTAAACCTAGAGAAGCAAGTGGGGGCTTCAAAGCAGAGCTGATGTTCTTTATGGAAAGGCCATGGGATTATTCTGTTCGGGGAGGCTAAGTGCTAGTGCAAGTACTGTGCACAGTAATAACTCCAGTTGTCTGGGACTGGCATCTTGCAGGCCTGGAAGGCTGTTTATGGAGGGCTGTTTAGGCAGAGATCTCCCAGCAGCGGCAGCAGAGCAGATCGTCCTGACTTGTGCAGCATTTGCATCAAAATGAGCTTCCTGGAAGACCTGACCCATGCAGAAGTGAGCATCCAGCACCACGCATTCCTACAAATGCATCATTTCCACTAACAAGGAAGCACAGGGCAGAGAGGACCTGCTTGACTCAACCTCATGCTGATTTACAGGGCCCAATGTTAGAAAAATAAAATTTGGCTTTTCTTTACACCTACGTGGATATGCATGAGCATGAAATCAGTATGGGCAATAAATGAAGGTGCCTTTCAAGATGAAGATCTGCATTAGTTGAACCAATTAACAACCATAACAATTTCTGCTTGTCACCTCCCACTAAGCCTTGTTTTTCTCACCATATTGTCAGAAAGCTTTTCTTGAAATAAGAGAGTCAGTTTTACTCATATCCAAGTAGTTTCAACTTTGCAAAAAAAAAAAAAAGCATGCAGTGTCGGAAGTCTCTCTGCAATATACTAGGCGTGAGCAGCAGTTTCCCTCAAGCAACTGTGTGCCACCAAGTGGAGTAACATATTAGGTCCTCATAAGCCTAAGCATTTTTTTTCTATGTTGAAAGGCAATTAACCCATGCTTCTGACTACTGACAGCACAGTTCAGCTCCTGCAGTCAACAGTGGTATCTGTAAACATTTGACTATGGCTTGAATTTCAGAGGAGCTCCAAGCCAAGCAACAGTGCTGAAGTGCACTAAGGAAAGGGCATTTATACCAGCCCCAGTGCAACCCATGTGATTGTCACCTCAAGGAGCCCACACAATCCATCCCTTCCCATGCAGGACTTTTGTTTTCAGGTCACCTGTAAGAAGGCATCACTCACTGCACGAGTGAGGGGTCAATACCAGACATTTCTTGCCCTGTGCCCCACAGGATTTCTTTCCACAAGGTCAAGCATCCCATGTGTTCATATAGCAGTCACTATGGCAACCCATCTCCGTATTGGGATGACTACTTCAGAAAAGAAAGGAAGGAAAAGCTTTGGAAACCTGTTCCTCATCAGGAGCAAGGATCTGTATGGGCCACTTTCATGTGCTGGATGGTGCTGGTCCTGGTTGCTCTGCAGAGCCCATCCATCTGAGGGAAAACCCTTCTGGCCCCTCAACAGAGATTAGCCTTACTGACTAGGGTTACTGACCATTAAACTGGCACCACTTTTCCCTGGAGGGCTGGATTTGTGGCACCAGGATATGGGAAACAAACATCTTTTTGCAAGACTGCAGAAGAGACTGAGTTCTAGTTTGAAATCTGAAGAAGGGTTGGAATTATTAGATTAGTAGTAGTAGGGGAGAGCTACCCACATATTGGCAAAGACAAAGAATTCAAGACACCTAAGAATGAATTAGTCTTCTAGGTTTGAACTGTAATTAGCGGGGCAAGGCAGGCTCTTGTGGGGATAGCCTGTCCTAAAATAGGCTGCAACATTTCACAACAGCTCACACTGTCATGAGTCTGTAGTTACCCAAAAATGCAGTTCTGCTACCCACTCCTGCAGCATAACTATGCAGTCCCAGTGTAGCCTTTTCCATTACTCCTGCCCAGGCAATGGCCTGTAGAAAGGGAACTGGTGCAGTTTTTAATTCACCAGAGGTGGGCACTTGACAGGATGGGGAGGAGAGCAGTATGTCTTAGCAAGAGCCAGGTTTCCGTCCATCCATCCATCCATCCATCCATCCATCCATCCATCCACCTATCCATCTATCTCATAACCCAACTGGTCCAGTAAATGATGTGGAAAGCAGACCGCGTGAGAGGCCAGCTTAAAGTTGTCAGGAGCGCAGTCAGTTTGAAAGCAAAGGATGAACAGGATTGATGGAACTCCCATTTTTCCTAAGTGCTGTATCCTGTCAATCTTTTGAATCTGATGTTTGAGACTTTCAGTCTGTTTATAAAATATATACATATTTTATATGTTAACAATGCACTTATTGTGCTTCCTTGTTTCTATGATATCCTCATGCAGTGGAGAAAGTGCTACAGAGCATCAAAGAAGCAATAATAAAGGCATTGCTGCTGCCATCTGAAAATGCCTGTCTAATGAGTTACATGAGAGACCATGCCAAAAGGTCAAACACGCTAAAGAGAGGGAGACCAAGTGTGGTTTGGCTGGGCCATGTGCAGTCTGGCAACTGTCCCACCAGCCACACATCTGAATGGAGAGGTGTGTTAGGCTCCAGAAGTATCAGTGTTTCAGGGCTGCCAAGGACCTGCAAATCCTTGAGCCCAGATCCTTCAGCATGTAAATCAGTGTAGTTCCAGGGCAGGCTCTTGCTGATACCTGCTTGCAACTGGGAGTTGCACTTTGCTGTGAGTTCTGTGACTGGGGGTAAAGCTCTGCAGAACCCTAGCCCTGTCTTGTGTCTTCCCTCAAAGCCTGAGGCATGTACTGTTAGAGATAACTATTGATAATTGCATTTAAAACTTTCATCTCCTTCTGTACATCTTCCCAGTGAGCTTAATGATGGAGGAAGATGCCAGGTGTTAATTATTATCATTGTCAGCTCCTAGCATTTACTGTACAAAGCAGCACTTTTCCTGGTCTCAGTACTCTGTGATTACAGTACAGAGAATGAGGCATATTCCTTAAAGTAACCCACAAATGTTAGTGTTGTCATTATCCAATTAACGTTCCTTTTTCACAGGATGAATATAAACCTGACAAAGACCTCTCTGAAGTGGATCTAAAGAATGCCATTCGTGTTCACCACGCCTTAGCCACGAAAGCCTCCGACTACAGTAAAAAATCGAACGTGCTGAAGCTGAAGACAGCTGACTGGAGAGTGTTTCTGTTCCAGGCCCCGTAAGTACCAGCACTTCCTTGCCAGGAGACTTCCCTCCAAGCATGAAATGGCAGGCCAACTTCCAACCAGTGTTGGATTCTCTTCTGCTTGACCAAATTAACACACATAATAAAGGAGAACCCTAGAAAGAAGAACTGGGGGAAGAAGATGCTAAGCAGAAGGAGGGCTGAAAGTGAGGTCTGTAGGATTGTGCAAGGAACCTGGTCATGGAGTCACAGTTTATGCTAACCAGGTGAGAAGAGCTTACTTATGTGACAGCAGTCAGGCTCCTGACAGTGGCGTGTGTCAGTCCTTTCTGGTTTGTCACCAGGACTGACTGAGCAGGTAACAAGCTGAAGAGGGAGGTAACTTCTCCTTCTCCCTGGCTGTGGAGTCCATCATATAGTATCCTGTGGGTTTCAGATGGAGTCCATCATATAGTATCCTGTGGGTTTCAGATGGATCCTAGTAAAGGACTAACGGGAAGTTGATGAAGCAGAATGTTTGCAGACCATGTTTGTGGATGACATTCCAAGAGAGGTTTTCGAGGGTAGACGGGGAAACATGATATCCAAACAGGCTACGTAGTTCCCACAGCCCCTCAAAAATTGCAAGGAAATGTATGGACACACTTGTGCTTAATTGTAAGGCTATTTTAAAATGTGCTTGAAGTGTTTTACCAGTTAAAAGTGGTATCCCAGCACTAACTCTTGAGGGACTGCTATCTAGAGTGAATGTTTCCCAAGTCTCTTCCTGCTTGCTCTGTACAAACAATTCAGGCTACAGTAGCAAGCCAGCCCAAATCATATCACATGCTGGCAAGTACAGTGCTGGAGTCACCAGTGTGGATGTCCTCCTACTCTCCTCTTCCTAACCTCTATTCTCATTCAGTGGGAGGCACTGAACTAAGGAGCTGATGGGTCACCTGTCAGCAAGGGGTGGGAAAAACTGCGTTAAGGTCATTGCAGAATTATTTCCAAATCCAGGCTATGTCTTCTTCGTCAGCCCACTACAGAGGAAAGTTGTTTTGCCAACAAATGCCACATGCTTGAGCTAGCTTCTGTTTGCTCTTCTATTTCTGTGTCACCTCCTGAGATAGTTGACACTGTAAGTTAGGATGGAGTATTAATGCCTAAATCTTAACGTCTAGACTTATTCATTGAAAATTGAGTTGAAGCCTAGTGGGAGCATTTCCTGAACAGATCCAATTAAGGACTTCGGACTGCTTCCCAAAAACATCTTAGGGATTCACAAGACCTCTGATGAGGGGCTCCTGATGTCCACAGGGTAGTTTGTTGTTCCTCCCTTGTCACCATGTTACCTCTCCACCGCTTCTCACAGAATGCAGAGTTGATGAGGAAGGTGGAACTTTCAGGTCTTCGTGCAGGTGGACAAGAGTCCTGAAATCCTTAAGTCACTGTAGATGCAGTTAGGAAATGTTTTGCTATGATCATGACCAAGGGTAGCACAGAAAAGGTTTTGAAGAAGGGCCTCTTATGAGGACAGACAGCTTCAGGGCTGTCCTTACCTGACTGGGCTTGGGTCAGGAGGCTTTGCAGAAACCCAGCATCTCTCTTTCCCCTCCTCCATAACAGAAGTAAGGAAGAAATGCTTTCCTGGATCCTGCGAATCAACCTTGTTGCTGCCATTTTCTCTGCCCCAGCCTTTCCAGCTGCAATCTGCTCCATGAAGAAGTTCTGCCGCCCACTGCTTCCTTCATCCATGACTAAACTGTGCCAGGTAATGTGTGAGAGAAGGGTTGGTGGTGGAGGTGCCTCATGCATAGCTGGGCTTTCAGCGCACAGATCAAGATGAAGCCATCTGCAGCTTCCGTCTGCACCTCTCTGAGCACTGACACATATCTAAGCACTCAGGTACACACACCCCTATCTTGAGGGCATGAAAGAGCGTAGTGGACAACTCAGAGCACAGCAAACCTAATTCTGACCAATGCTTCTTCTGCAATGAAGGTAAAACAGCCCTGCTCACAACACCTTCTGCTTAATGGCTGTTGATGTGGACTGCTTATTGCCTGTCACATCTCAGTACCTTTCTGCTGCTGGGGTTTAAGTAAGTGATTCGTCCTGCTGAGCCCAAGAGCTGGCTACCACCCCGGTTCCTTTTATAACATCACACTTAGAGAGGGCACCATGTTATTTCTCAAGCTGAAAAGTGACAGAGAACAGGGAGTCTGAGTCCTACTCAGTGGGAAAGGTTGTCTGGAAGCAGTGGGACACAGTGCACCAGAGCATGGATACCCGAGACACAGTTAACCAGGAGTGATGAGCAGCTGCCATCCAAAGAGAAACTTTAGTTTGTACTGCCCAGGGAATGCAAAACATGCCTTAGCACCACCAAAAAACAGGGAACACTGCCACTGGACCTCAGCAGAGGGGAAGGGAGAGGATAGCCTGAAATGATCAGAGCAGAGATACATCTCCTTATCTGCTGGGCCAACATGGCTGGATGTTGTCTTTCTCAAAGCACAGACTTGGAAAGTGTTTTTTCCCTAAAAAGAGAAGGATGTTCAGCTCTAGGGGTGCAGCAAGTTCTACTTGGGTATTAAGGGATACAGAGCATTTCATTTTTGTGATTCTAAAGAGGCTCCAGTGCTAGGGAAATCTGCTCCTAGCACTGATGGTCTTTGGGTTTTGATCTTCAAATACCTGTGTTTCATCTGCTCCTTATCAGATGAATTTGCGAATGTGCTGCATGCCTTTGACTCCAGCGCATGGTACACAGCCCTTTCCAGTAGCTTAGCTTACATACTCGCGGAGACAGATTCCACACTGATAGGCATGCAGTGCGCTTAGGTGTTACATCTTTGTACATTTTAATACCTGACATACTTCTCTCTGCAGGAGGAACAGCTGAGGTCCCATGAAAATAAAATGAAGCAGATTGCAGATGAATTAGCAGAGCATAAATTACATCCTGTAGAGAAGAGCCTCAAGTCAAAAGAGGCTGAGGAGTACAGACTGAAAGAACATTACCTAATATTTGAGGTAAAGTAACTTTCATCTTTTCTGTACCAAATGATACCTTGGCTGATAAGAGATAAAACTGATAAGCCTGAAGTGGACCATGTGTCTGTGAAAGCAGGAAAGGGGAGAAAAGAAAGAGAAGTCACGAGCTTGATGGGTGTCATGGGGCAGCAGCAAGTTTCACTGTTTTGCACTGAAGCTAAAACAGGATATAACAGACATTGCAGATCCTCTATGATTTCCAGTGTTAAGAGGGAAAAAAATGATGAGAGAGATAAAATCTTCCTTTACTGTCCTGGGAGTTGAAATTTCCTCACATCCCAAGTAAGAAGGTAGTTCAGTTGTTGGGGCGCATCTCTCTGTTCAGCAACATTAATAAAAGTCTGTAGAAAGCTCTGGGAGAACTATTCTTGTTTTGGCAAAACTATTTCTCTCAACAAAAGCCAAAGATCATTTTTATGGCTGATTACAGACTCTCTGAGGATACATGTAGCTGAGTTTAAAAACTCCACAAAATATAAGTATTAATTGTGGGAGAAGTAGGATATTTTGTTCCAGAAGAGGCTGAGTACAAGTTGGGTTTCCTGCCACAGAAGAGTCATTGGGAAGACCTCTAGTCCTGCTCTCAGCCGAACAGACTATTGTCAATAGTACCCCAGGCTGCCATGGCTTTTTTTGGCAAAGTCTTGGGAATCTCCAATGATGGAGATCTCCTGCCTCCCTGTTTCTGCATCACAGGCTGCACCACCCTCTTGGGGAAAGGTCTCCTTGTAGTGCCCCATAAATCTGGTAATGCCTTGAATCTCCCAAGCCACAGTGGTTGCCTCTGGCTCCACTGACTTTGTGCCAACCTTCCAATAGTTGTTGGCTGCTGTTAGAGCCCCCTTTGCCTCCTGTTTGCCAGGCAGCCTATTTAGGATACCTGTACAATTTAATAGTAACAGAGAATCAATGAATGAGTACAATGGAAAGAAGAAGTATTTAAACCAGTGGAAGGAAACATTCCCCCCTGAAAAATCACTGTGCTCACCAGGAGTGTGTTTTTGATGTTCCTAACCAGGCAGGCAGGAAGATGGAAAGTCTGAATATCCCAAATCAGATAGGATCAAATCTGTTGGCCTGCTCTTGCCTCTAAAACCTGCCTTTAGCAGTTGAGTTCAGAATCAAACCTGTAAGAGAAATTGTAGTCTTGCACAACCTTCCACATTCATCCTTGGGTTGATTGGTTTTGTTAGGCTGTGGCATAGATCAGTCATTGGGCTGTAATTAAATTGTACTTGCTGGCTCACATTGGTGGGAGCCTGACAATATAGCATGAGTTTTGGTGCAGTAGCCGACAGCTTTGTCTCCGCTTTTCGTGTATGCCCTGTTCTGTCCCTGTTCCCAGGTTCTCTGCTCTGTTCCCTGTTCCCCTGCAGAAGAGCCGCTACGAGACATACATCAACCTGCTGTGCATGAAGATAAAAGTTGGGACAGATGACCTGGAGAAAATTGAAACCAACTTCTTCAAAGTGGAAGCTGATGATATTGCTTTGCGGAAGACACATTCAAGCCCTTCCTTGAGCCAAGGGCACTTGTCCATCAGTTGCAAGGCAGAAAAGGACATTATAGAGCAGAACACTTAACAAGCAACGCACCCAGAAGGGGGAATGAACCAGCAATGCTTTGCGCTCCTGGACTAGATCGATGAGCACAATTTTACCTAGGAATTTATACGAACAAAGCCGTAGACATACACGACACGGTGAATCTGAGAAGCTTTAGTTGACACTCCTTGACAACGCTCTGGCATTTCAGCATCATAGACGCTCCACCTTTTCTTCATCCCTAACAACACCTATGGCTCTTTGTTCCCTCTTATTACTACCTGCACAATAAAGGGATATGCTTATTCTCCAAGGGGCAGGCTGCTCTTTTATCCAGTAGCCCCTTTCTCAATCCCTCCCTCCTTCCTTCTCTCACTGGAGTCCCAGTGAACCTGACAGTGTTCTTCTGGCAGTGCAGGAACCTCAGCCAATCCTCACGTTCAAAGGTTCAGCCCTCAGCTGCTGTGAGCAAACAGGGTCTGTGGCACCACAAATGCTCTCAGGGAAGCAGAGCATGTCCCTGCCGTGAGAAGAGCATCGTTTGACACAGGGCAATAGGACGGATTCCTAGTCCCTGCTGGAGTGAGAGGTGTCTTTAGCATGGGCGCATGAGAACATCATCCGCCCACGGCAGTGGAGGCCTAATGTGCCCTCTGTCGCCTTTTCATTTTTATATATATATATACACACATATAAATATATATAGATAAATATATATATAAGGAAACTTTAACATGGGTTTTAAACCTCAGTGTGCTAGCAAAGGTAAGCTTCCTGGAGAAGATGCTAGGGACTGTGGAGGGTCTGACCAGCCTATTAGGATATTTTCAAAAGTGCGGTAGCCTGTGTTTCTTATTTTCTTTTCTTTTTTTTTTTCTTTTTTTTTTTTTCTCAAAAGGAATACCATCTGGCTTTGCTGTGAAACATTGCCCT